TCACTTTTTCTAAGATTCTATTCCCTTTATCTGCTTGTAATTCTTTTTTTCTTTTATATATATCTATAGCATTTTTTTGTTTTCTGAGCTTCTAAAATTCTGTTATTTTATTTTATTTTTCTTCTATTGGTTAATTCTTTTTTTTTTTTTCTAGTTAATTATTACTTCGCAATAGAACTTCTATAGCTTTTCATAGAAGTTTAACTAAAAAGAATCTATAAACTAGTTTACAACCTGATTTGCTTTAGACCTTGACTCTAAAAGTTTTTTTGCTTCTGTGATAAATTTTTTGCTAGTCAAGCTATGAAAATATAATTTTTTTCTTTAAATTTTATCTTCTGGTTCAATACCTAAAAAAACCTTAACCAGATTTTTACTTGTTATTAAAATATCTCACTTTTATAGAATCTTGAGTCTCAACTTCTCTATGATTACTACTTTTATATGTTTTTAAATATTTTGATAAACTACATACTCTGTAAAATAACTAAATATTTTTTTAGTAATACAACAAGCTATGCAAGTTTTACCTCTGTAAAGATCAGATCTTCATTAAAAGCAGATATCACAAGTTAGTAGTAGCTTATTTAGACATTTTATTCTAAATATCAGAGCTTTGCTTTTTTTAAGGCTTGTGCCTCTTCTGCTCTGATAACATTTAAACACCTTCTATGTATCTTTCTAATTTATATCTTCAGCTTCATAGTTACTAGATCTAAAGTTAATTATATCTTTAGAACTATTTAGTTCTGTTCATTCTATTCTATATATTATTATTGTTGTAATATTTACAAAAGATCTAATTAGGCAGTCAATAAGCTTATTCTCCTATTTTAGTAAAACTCTTAGATTGTTAGTATTTATATCATCTACTAAAATAGATCTACTTGAATTTAGACCAACTTTTGCTAAATAGTGGTCATATCCAGTTAACTCTTTACTCAAAAAGGTATACCCTTTAGTAAAATCTAATAACTGGTTTTATATCTTGTTGAAATATAAGGATAACAGTTATATCTTAAGTTGTATCTGAATGTCATGTGATTAGATTATTATCCAATCAAATTACAGGATTAATTAAACAATACGGTAAACGATTTATAGTTTGTTTAACTATGCAGTAAAGTAATGTTACAAATTGCTAAAAAATTTTCAATCGATTAGCTAACTAATTCAAAAATTTTCTATCGATTAGTTGTCAACTAAACGATTTATCGATTTTGATCGATTATTTTATTATAAGTTGACAAAATTTTTCAATCGATAAATTATTTTTTTTAAAAATTCTCAATCGATTAGTTGGTTTAATTAACAACTAATTGATTTTTCAATTTTCGATTTGTATCACTATAGTAAAGTTTGCTTTTATACATGCATTTAATTAATAATTCTATATTTTAAATAAATCTATCTTTACTAGAAGCATGATATTACTTTATAATCTGATAATTCATAATCACTGATAAAGTTGAATGTACAATTGTATTTAATTAGTTAATCACTTTCCTTACAGTATCTACAAATTTCTTACAAATTGAATCACTTATGAAACCGTTTATAAAACTATATAACAAATATAATAATTACATGTATTTAATTGACTAATTTCTTTCTTAACCATAAATTGCTTATGAAACCATTCACAAAACAATTATGCTTATAAATCATTTAATAAATTATTAATAAATTATTACATATTTTTTTAATAATTTCGATATTTTGCATATTGATTTATTTATCATAGTATCAAAATATTATCTATTCTGTCATATTACTTAATTTTAATAATCACAGCATTCCTATCAAAAATTTTTGCCCAAACGATTAATAAGTGTCAATGAAATAATATGGATTTATGTATTTAATAAGGACATAAAATTAGAATTCTAAAGTATTAAGCAGTTGGTTATATTAGTAAAATAATAAATATAAATAAAAAGAATTGTACCTAGCATTGGAGAAAAGAGAGAAGCAATCGATTAAAATCATAATTACATATTTCACGTGATCATTTAAATGAAAAAAATCAAATTTGTATTTATAGGCAGGAGCAAAGAAATAAATTAATTTGTAGCTTTTTAATAATAATACATAGCATACTTATCTGAATATGTCTATTATACGTAGTTATCTGATACCTTTGCTATTTGAATGGGTAGTATCCAATAACTGTTTTTAGCTTCTTAAGCTTAGAACTACTATTACAGAATTATGTACATATAAAGATTGGAATAGTTAAGCAATCTAATGCATTACTACAATATATAATATAGTAATTATATAATTATATTATATTTACTAACTACTTTATTCATACCAATTTTATTATGCTAAATAGTTTTATATAAATTAATTATAATAATAAAAAAGTATGATTAGTTTTTTTTATTAATATATATCAATATAAGAAAAAAATGATAATTTTCTATTTATATATATATAATGATAAAAAATATATATCACTATTTTTATATAATTAAAATTTTACTTTTTATTCTTCATATTTGGAAAAATATTATCAATGCTATACCAATTTTTTTTTAAAAAAATTAAGTGCTCAAATGTAATAGGCAAAAGACTTGTTCTTTTAATAGTTATTACATTTCCAGCATCACTAAATAACCTCTCACTAGGAGTTGAAGTAGCCAAAATAGCTAAATATTTATGTGCCAAATAAGCTAAAACTAGAAAATGATTTTGGTTACTTTTTCACTATTCAATAGACATTGATTATAAGAAATTTCTGATATTCCAATATAGTCAGAAATTTTGTCTATTTGAATATTACTTGATCGATATATAGAGGCCAATAGTTTGCTTGTAGATTGTAATAACTGTTTAATAGGTATATTATTTTGATTTTGATATTGCTTATATACCTCACGCAATGAATTATAAGTTCTAGCTTTTAAAGATTCTAAAATAAAATTTAATATTTTACATCGAGAGTCAAGTAATGTAGCTAACATTCCTTCTTCTGATAGTATTTTCTAATAATAATTTATAGCATTATATAAAACTGTGTTTACTCTTTCTTCAAAATTTATACAATTTTGAGGAATATTAAATTGTTGAAAGTTAACTAACTCGATATTATTGGCTTAATCCTCATTTAAAATAGTATCATTAAAAACATCTTCATTATCTTTATAGTCTACTTGTCGTAGCTCAATATTATCAGTAAGTATAAGATTATTCATAATTGTATTAATCACACTATATATAAAGCTTATTGTTGCATATTTACTACCTTCTAAAAATTGGTTGCCTCTGCAAATGGTTCAAGTATTGTAACAAGATTTTTTATAGCTTCTTATTCAATATCAGTAAGATTAATCTTTTTTAATCTTGCACTTTCTTTACGTATTTAATAGTCTTCATCTAAAGAAAGTATTATAATAATAAGATTAATTATATTTTGAATTTTAATTAGCTATTGCCAGGTAAGAAAAGATGAATTCCATCTTGTTGGCATATCAACAATTATACGTAATTCATGATTATTTTGAGAAAGGTCCTAATTAAATTTAAAAAATTTTTATTACAAATATTAATAAATTTAATAATTTATTATTATTATTATTAGAAATATTATATTTATAACACCTATGTTATATAACACCTTATATATAATAATTATGTAAACTAGATTAGGGTAAGAGTATAGTTTTTTAGTATATTATATATTTAATAGTATAGTGTTATATAATATGGTGTTATGAATATAACTTTTCTTATTATTATTATGTATATAAATAAATATTATACTTACAATATCTTCATTACAATTAAACTTTTTTTGAGTTTCTAAAAGTCGTTGCATTTGTTTAGGAGTAGTAAAATATAATATAAGTCTTTTAGCTCATGTAACTAAGTTTTCTACTTCTAAAAGACCCTTCCCAATAACTAATTGAAGAGTGTAAGTTGTACATAGTATGCGAACAATATTAGGTATTAAATTTAATGCTTTAACTATATTACTATCATTATCAGTAGCAATTATAAATATTTTATTATCAAGGTTCCATTCATTAATAATTGAATTTAAAGATTTAGAGATAATTTTGCTACTATGCGGATAAAGAAGATATCTAATAGAAAGTATATTTTCTTGTAATTGAAAACTATTATGATATAAGAACAAGTAATACCCAGATATCCTAATCTATTATGCCCAGTCCATAAATCACAGGTTAAAGAGCATGATATAATATTTTTTTCAAAAATATTTAATAGAGATAGTTTAGTATACTCATATGCTTCAAAAAGTAACTGTCAGCAATATTTTTCACTTGAAAATTGGTATGATAGATCAAATTCTGTAATAAAATCTTTAAGACCTTTATTATTTTGAATACTTATTGGTTGATAATCTTTAATTAAAAATTCAACAAATTTTTAATCTTTACATTGCTTGTATTCTGGGTTGTTATAAATTATTTAATCAATTTGAAGTTGTGAAAGTTGTGATTTTCTTGTTTTTTCATTATAAGAACTTTCAGTAATACCATGCTGTGTTGCTAAATATCCAATATAATTTCCTGTTGAACTATCTACTGACCTTATAATATGTTCACATAATTCACTTTTACTAGTATTATTGTTATGATAAATTTCTACTAAACAACTTACAATTGTTTTGTAAGGTGGTACAGCTTTATAGCATTGATAATATGACCAAATCTAACTGCATTCTGAATGTTTAATAAGAGGAACTAACTTTATTGCTTTTAAATTTGGTAATTTTGATATATTCTTAAATTTTTCTATATTATTATTATCACTATTAACCAAATTATAGCTATTAAGTGTATTATTGTTATCACTATTAGTTAGATTATCATGTTCATTAGAAACAAACTCCTCAGATTGAGATAACTCAAAGTTTGATTTGTATATATTATCTACTTTTTTTTGTTTTTTGTATTTTTTATTAGAATTTGAAGAAAGTACCACAATATCTTCTTTATTAGAAGAATTATTGCTAAATATTTTTTATAAATATATGTATAAAATAGAATTTTTTATAAAAAAAAAATGTGAAAAATTTTTATATTCTTTAGCAACATATTTATAGTTAATAACTTACTTTATTCCAGATTTCAAATCTATTCTAATTCATTGATTGTTACTTTATTTCATATGAATGTGTGAGAGTGAAATCTGTAATAATTATATAATTATTTATAACTACAAATTTTTGCTCTCACACACTCATATGAATATTAGCTAGAAGTCTTATATAATTCAATATTTTTTTGATTAAATTATTCAATTAATCAATTTTAAATTGATATCTAAATAAAGAATAAAACTGTTATAAAATCAGATTTATTATAAATTTTAATTATGTAATTTCAATTTTTTTATACAAGAGCTTAAAGCTCTTGCAGATTTTAACTTGACAATACTTTATTAAACTTCAGAACTTATATATAGACTCTATATATAATTTAATTAGATTATGCTATATATCGTATTTCAATTGATTTTGATTCAAAAATTGTTTGATCAAAGCTTTTATAAAAAAAAATAAAAAATAACATATTAGAATAGAGTTTTATTATTTTTATATTTGCTATAATCTATTACTTATTTCATGTAACTGCTAATATATATAATAAAGTAAACTCATACATTGATATACTCTATCAGTCTTCAATTTTTTATGACTTTTCCATTTTTTTTGACAATTTTTATGAAGTTATCTTATTGTTACGATTAGCTCATTATCAAAAAAGGAACAATTAGTCATAAAGAATTAAATAATCACATTAATAATTATTACTAATTTATATAATTCGAGAAATTATTACACTATTTATAGCTATATATTGATATCTTATTAGAAAATTATTCAATCTTTAAACTATTGCATAAAGACTACGTAGCAATAGTAAAAAAAATATAGTATTAATCTTATTTACAAAATAGTGCAAAAAATGCTATAGATATATATAAAAGAAAAAAAGAATTACAAGCAGATAAAGGGAATAGAATCTTAGAAAAAGTGA